GCGCAGCGGCAGGAGCGGAGCTCAGCCAGCCCGCTTGGCCAGGACAGGGCAGCCTGCAGCAGAAAATTAAATCTCATTTCTCAAAACATGAAAGGAGAAAAATATRTAATAACTACACTTTTTGAGTAAAAAGGGAAACTATGCATGGATTTATTGAAAAAGATTTAAGGTAGTGAGAGAACCAGTATTTCCTTATTAATTATTTGACATTTATAGTAACACTAACAGTGATACATTCTGCTGTAGAATATTTTATAATTTTTATTTATTAGAATAGTTTATTATATTTTTTACAGAAAACAATAAAAAAAATACTGATCACAAAAGAGCATTCCAAGTATAATTTGTAAATGATTTGGGTTTAACCAGTCACTCTCTGGAATCCTAAATAGCTTCCTTTAGGAAAATCATATTATAATCATATTATTGCTTTTTTATTAATCGTCCTATTTCAAATATTATCCTAATACAAATGATAGCAAATATGGTCATGTTGACTTCCACTTTCTCAAGCACCCTTTCCAATACCACCAAGAATGATCACCAGTAATTGTTTGCATTAGAAACCAAAGGAGGCAAGATAATGCTGATTGTCAGGTAATCTGTGGTTCTTCCTCATCATGACTGGAATACATGCCTACATCAACACCTCCATCGAAAGCCTCCCAGTTTCCATAGCTCTTTCTTCCCACAAGTCTTGTCTTACCACACACCAACTGACATTTAATTCTTCAATTACTGACCTTTAATAACTTTCATATTTTCTTTCCACCAAAGGACTAGAAATTCCTCAAGGGAACAGTACAAGAAACACTGCTCCCAGGACATGCAAAGTCCTGGAATACAGGCCTGGCCGGAGGGCTGTGCAACCTCATTCCATCTTGAGAGTGCTCATACAAGAAATGCAAAGAACCAGACCTTCATTATATGCTAATGTGCATTTAATAATTTTATTTTTATACTATGCATAAATAGAGGTATGTGGATGTTAAAATGGTTTAGTAATCTGAGTCTTGAAGGGTACCAGTTGGTCCTGTCAAATTCACTTTGCATAAAAATTAACATTAAAATATAATGTTTAATGAAATTAAATGTGAAACATAACTCTTTCTTGCCAGCTTTTTCCAAATGTTACAAAGTTATTCGATAAAACCTATTAAAAATTGCTCCTTAGCTGTTCTGAGGAAGTTTTATTACTTTATACTTTAATACTGAAGTAGTATACTAGGTTATAAATGGAAAAGAAAAAGGAATCTTGAATTTCAAAACATCACTTACAAGTTGGTTATTTGGAATTTAGGTTCAGAGGTCAATYCCAAAAGGCAATTTGACTTCTATGCACTTGAAATGAAAATTGTATAAAAGCAATACAAGTAAATTGAAAATAGTAAAGACAACCTCTGCAATTCTAATTGAGGACATGTAGCAGTCTACCTTTTCCCAAGCCCCCTTCTCTCTGTCAAAACAAAAAAATATAAAGGACTTGCTCTAGTTTCTTTCCTCTGTCAAACTTCCCTGACTCAAAAATTATAAATTTGGTCCAGGCATGGCCCCTCTGCCATACCTCCAAGAAGAAAGCAGTAAATTACGACTCTTTTCATCCAACTGTTAGACTATGCATGCCTTACCAATTTAATAATCCCAATACCTAAACAGTGCTCCACACAGTGTGTGGAATGAATGAAAGCAAAAGGAACTTTAAGCAATATAAATATGCATCTAGATTGGGTATGCTCTGTGCAAAGATCTGAAATCCAAAATCCGGAACTTTTTAATTTAGGATTTTAAGATTAGCCATGCTCAACCAGTGAACTATGCAAATATTAGAAAGTCCAAAAAACTCTGAAATCTGAAACACTTCTGGCCCCAGAATTTGGGGTAAGGGACACCCTACCTGCATCATACAATGCTTTCCCTGGAGAAGCTTTCAAATGAGATGGGAGAGAAGATAAACATCAAAACATCCCTGGCTCCACACATTCTGATGACCATATGTCATGACAAGCATCATGATGGTTTCCTTGGAGGTTTAAAATCTAACCAATCCTAATCCATTCATTCCTTCAGAAATGCTCACAAAGCCCCCTACTGTGTGACTTGAAAGGATAGGGAATGAAGGAATTTGGTAGGAGAAATAAGGGACAGTTGAGGAGAGAAGGAAATTTTTCCAGTAAAGGGAAGGAAAAAAACCAAGTGTGTTGTTAATGAGAGATGCAAAACAGAGGCACAGAGATGCAAAACAGAGGCACCCCCTCCACACACCCCTACAGCCACTACCTCAGGATTCTGGCAAGAACTAGATGCTGGACCCCTGAGTATGCTGGTCCTACCTTGGCACAGCTTCACCATCTGCCAAATGAACACATCTATACCTATGTTGACTAACTGTAACTAGGTGTGCAGGGGCACCATCTGAGAAAGACCTTGGAAATTAAACTTCTCTGTGAACATACAATAATGACATACTATAAATATTTCTGTAGTTTAAATGAAATGTGCCATGAGTTTTCTACTATTTTAAGTGTTTGGTTTATGAGCACCAAACAAATAGTATATGCTCAATAAAATACTGACTGAACCCTGAAAACCAACCAGTAGTATAAAGCACTACCATTTTAAAAGGAAATAGTTTTATAATTTAAAATGCTCATTTGACTATAAATTTGAATTTTTATAAATGATCTTTTCTTTAAGAAGAATTTTCTACCCCTGCATATGAAGCTGATTTATCAATTATTACAAAGTGAAAATAAAACATTTATTATCAATCAAGTATAAAGAATTGCACAAATTACTTATTCTAGTACAGTACTCTTTCCTTCCTTTTCTGAATTTTATTCTGAATGCTACAGAATAAAATCATCTAGACAGCTTCAATTCGCCCACAGTCTCTAGACCTCTACAGTTAGTTCAAAACATCTCCTTTATAAAGCCATTTTTTTCTTTATGGCTCTTTATGGGAGGGGAAGATAACTGAGAAAATGTAAAACCAAACTATTTCAGTTACATGTTTCTATGCTTAATGACTGTTTAACCCCTCAGTATATATATTAAATAGTTTAAAGTATGATTTGATGGTTATAGGAAAGAGTTTAGAGATAGGAAATGATACATTTAAATATTTACAAAAAATTAAGAGTTACTTACATGGTAACACCAAAATAGTAGGTAAATTTTTAATTTTCTAAGACCTAGATTCAATTTCATATTATGTATTCTTGGTACTACATTATTGTCCCTCGTTGAAAAGCAAATTGAAATTTGCAACTTTAGGGGCTGGGGATGTGGCTCAAGCGGTAGCGCGCTCGCCTGGCATGCGTGAGGCCCGGGTTCGATCCTCAGCACCACATACCAACAAAGATGTTGTGTCCGCCAAAAACTAAAAAATAAATATTAAAATTCTCTCTCTTCTCTCTCTCTCTTTCACTCTCTCTTTAAAAAAAAAAAAAAAAAGAAAGAAATTTGCAACTTTAGGATGTGTCTTTGGCAAAGCTGAATCCCATTTTRAAAGTGCCAAATATCTCAAACTGGTGCAACCTGTCTGAGGCTTGCAGTAATAAAATATGCTATGTCTAGCTTTATTCTTGATATTAAAGGCTATAATTGTTTTGAGAAGACAATGACTGTCTCTTATTTTCGTTCCTCTTTATTCCTCTCAATCCACACATACATTCACATTCAAAACACACACACACACACACACACACACACACACACAAACACACTTACTTTTAAAACTAATTCATATTTCAGTATGAAAGCCAAAAAATTTATAAGAAAATTACAAAACATTTTCTGTACTTATAATACCATAATGTTTTTAAGCAATCACTTTTGTACTATAGCATCTTTGATACAGTAACAAAATTTCTAAAACAAATGTTATTTTTTGTTTTTAATATAGAAGTTACTCATATAATCAAAATTGTACAGATATAATTACCACTACAAAACATTCATAAAAAAGAGAAGCCATATTTGGCCAAAAATAAATATATTTAATACAAAGGCAAATATGTACAATTGTTAAATAAAATATACAAATATTTATTCAATTTCAGGAGAACAGATTTGACCTATTTTTTTTCTCATAAATATACCTGAATCCCAAGTAGTCTCTGTGTTAAAAAGAGAGCCATTTTAAGGGCTTGGTGGTAGAGCACTTGCCTATAATGCAGGGGGCCCTGGCTTCAATACCTGGCAGTTCCAAAGACTTTTTAAATTAATTTTTTTAAAAAAACTGTATTTTAGAGACTAAAAGAACAACATATAAAAGGAACCATCCTGTAGAAATCTTTGCATAGAATTAAAAGTACAGTGTGTTTGGAATTCCAGGAATCCAAAATTTAAAATAGTGACTTTCAACTCTTACTCTCTTTTCTATAGTTTAGATCAAAAGTTTATTTTACTACTGAAAATTTCATAAGGGTAAATGTTCTATTGGAGTTTATAACTGTGAAAGAAAACAAACCAATTATTCTTTTCCAACTCAGCCTATACAAAATTTAAGACTTTTTTTGGTAAAATGCAATAATGTGAATATGCCTATGAAATATCTATAAATAATATTTTCTTATCTTTATTAATAATTTTTATGGTTTGAATACAGGTAATGTTCTCTAAAAGTCTGTGTTTTCAAGGCTTGGTCCCCCCAAGGCGGTGGTGTTGGGAGTTACTGTGGACCTTTAAAAGATGGGGCCTCCCAGCAGGTTCTTATATCACTAGGGGCAGGACTCTGAGAGGACGATGGGACCCCAGTCTACTCCTCTAGGGATACATGCATGTGTGTTTGTGCTGAAGTCAAGAATCAATCTTTACTACTCACTTCTCATTCTAACTTAACTTCATCTTTTTAAACAGAATGAAATTGACAGACTCAAAATACTAACATGAGCCTATATTTTGCTTTCTGGAATGAATTAAATGCTTGTTCTTATGTACTAAGGAGCTAGAAAAAGTTATTTAAAATTAATCCACATTCAGTCTGAATGAGATCTTACCTTCTATTTTGTTGTTTTTCCTCTTCAGCCATTTTTCTACAGTCTCTGCACTGACACTTTCAGACACAAACTCATCTAATACCTGGGGGTGAAGAGAAAGATACGCCTTCACTTTTTCATCTGTCAAACCTGTAAAAGAATTGAGAAGAACAAAATTTACCTATATGACATCTTCATATACATGAAATAGACAGTAAATGACATCATGCTAAGATCCGGTAACCTCTAACCTATCGAAGATAGGGTTGGCAAACATTGGAATGGGGAGATTTTTGCTTAATGAATAGAGTGTTTCTGTTTGGCATTAAAGCAAAGCTTTGGAAGTATGTGGGTGATGACTGCATAGCATCATGAATAAAATTAATATCACTGAACTGTACATTTGAAATGGTTAAAACAGCATTTCTATAAGATATCACATTAAAATCCAGTAAAAAAGAATCTTAAGTTGGAACTTTAGTGGTTTTAAAAAAAGACATCATRCTACACATCTGTTTTCTAACAGTAAGTTTTAGTGCTCTCCATGAACCAATGTTRTGCTCTAGTGTGGTACGTGAAGCCTTAAGATATATTTGTTTTTTCAGTGAATAATTATCTCGGATTCAATATGACTAGCAATAGAAGCAAAGAGGAGAACCTAGCACTGAACCATTATAGGTGTTGAGAAAAGTTTAGTGAATATATTCCATCTTTTAGTGCCTTTCACCACAAATTCCTTCTTTTTTCTCATGAGCACTAAACTCAACGGTACAACCAACATTCAATTCAGAATAATTTTTATATTCTATGTACAGAGTGAGATTCACTGAAATAATTTTCACAGTCACAGATAATAGCTGAATATACATAAGATTTTCAAACAAAATACTCATACATGTTTTCATATTGAACATATAAAACTACATGTTTTCAAATTAATCCCAAACACAAATAGGATATGAATAATTATTCTTGGTGAGGATAACTGTTTTTTAATACTACAACTTCTCTGTGGATTGTTTCAATAAATGACTGTCTTTAGGGATGTTTTGGTGAAAAGGGCAATGGAAAATTGTGCTTCAAGACAGCAAAGGAGGAAAGGAAGCATGACTTGATGACTCTAGAGTAGGCTGTATGTTTTCCCAAACAGACAGAATTCATATGTGTTAATTAATTCTGCTGGGAACTAAAGTCACAACTGTTAGGATTCTGCAACAGAATGGTATCTCTGAGAAGGCAAAGGATTTCTTTCAGCACAGTCAGTAGCTAGTTTCCACACCCAACCTCCACACCTCCCTGAACACTGGAATAGAGGAAAGAAAAACATGAACCATCTATGTTTTACCCAGGACAAAAGAGCACACTAATGATTCAATTCGTGTGACACAGTAAAATTCAGTTTGAGAATTCTACAAGATACCAAGGACAAGAGATTAATTACATAAGAATGTGCTTGCCTGGTGAAGCAAGTTGTGTGCCTAGATACAAAAGGCTGGTCACCTACCTGACCTTCAAGAAAACAATGCACATGTCATATTGTCTTTGACTGTGTCGGCCACAGTTGAACATATTTCCATGCTTAACTCCTTGACACCTCCCTCTGCAACATTCATGGCACATCACCTTAGTTCGTATCCTAATATTGTAATTGACCTTGATTTCTGCTTCCTCCTCAACAGTCCATGATGATGTCACTACAGTGTGTGCTGGAGTCTCCCTTCCTCCCATCTCCTGGGCTTGGGTACTCTCCTATCACCTCAAGATGGAACATCCTGGTCAAAACTAAAGGAATCATCTTCCCACTTCTTCCCCAAAGAGATTTAACTCTCAATTACTATTTTTCTGTTTCTTTTACTCCCCAATTTCTCAGAAAATTAGGGTGGGAGGAGTTTCATCATAACCAACACATCTTTCCTTGTCATCTCCATTCCTCTCAATGCATTATCATAGAGTCCTATTGTCAAGTTAAATATCTGATAAAAGACTTGCATCCAAAACATACAAAGAACTAAAAACCAAAAACAAGAAGAAAACAGCACAATTTAAAAATGAGCCAAACGTCTAAATAGACAACTCACCAAAGGAAATAAACACATGACAAACAAAGGTACAAAAAGATACTCATTTGCCATTAGTTGAAGTTAAAACAAGAAAAAGATTCTACTACTGACTTATTACAATGGCTGAAGTCTAAAAAACTGAAAGGAGTAACTGTTATATGGACATATAGCAACAATTCTCATCTGTTGCTGATAAGAAGAAAAAATGTCACAATTACTTTAGGAGACTATTTGGAAGTTCCTCACTAAGTTAAATATCATCTTTCTGTATTCCCTAACAATCACACAACAATACCTGATCATATTAGGCAATATTCAACTGATATAGACTCATGCCCACATGAAACCCTGTTTGAGAATGTTTCTGGACAGCTTTATTCATAATCAACTAAATCTGAAAGCATCCAAGCTGTCCTCTAATAAGCATCTACACAAACTGTGGTACATCTATAGAACTGTGATCAGGCAATACAAAAGAAAACAGCTAACAAGTCATGAAATGACATGGAGGGGTCTTAAATACATCCAGGCTTGCAGGCTACATGTTATATAATTGCAACTACACACATTCTAAAAAGGTTAATATGTCCTTGCAGGACACGTTGGTGCATGCCTGTAATCCAAGCACCTTGGGAGGCTAAGACAGGATGTGAGTTCAAAGTCAGTCTCAGAAAAAAGTGAGAAACTAAGCAACTCAGCGAGACCCTATCTCTAAATAAAATGCAAAATAGGACTGGGGATGTGGTTTAGTAGTCAAGTGCCATTGAGTTCAATCCCTGGTACCTAAGAAAAAAAAAGCTAAACTACAGAGATAGTAAACAATCAATATTTGCAAATTTTCAAGGAGAAGGGAGAAAGACTGAATGGATGCAACACAGGAATATTTTAGGGTGATAAAAATATTCCATATTGTACTGTAATAGTGAATATGAGACACTAAGCCATTTGTCAAAACCCATAAAACTTCATAGCACGAAGACTAAACTATAATATGTATAATATGCACAAACTTTTAAAATCACTTTCAAGATCAGGGATAGAAAACAGAATCTTACAAAAAAAATCTAAAGTCATTACAAATGTAGGAAACAATCTCACTGAAGGGAATAGAAGGGATAAGGATAAGGTATTGATCAACATAACCCTGGGAATGAGCAGAGTCTGTAAGACCAAATGCAAAAACAAACAAACAGACAAACCAAAACCTATACATAAGCTCTGTGCTCTAGTGGCTAAAGCTGTTAGCCCAGTGGGGAAGAGCTAACAATTTGGACAGTATACATACCAGGACAGGAGGAGAAATTGAGATTGACACACATGGTAATAGATTTGGAAATATCAATACAAACTCACGTGTGACTTCACAGATGCTGGTTTAATATTATATTGGTAGATATACACATATATATACAATTAGCACACATATAAACTTTGTCTTGTTATATTAGTAGACAGAGCCTGGAGCTAACAATATCCTAGTATCAAGCAGAACATGCAGCCCACAGTTTTTGGTCTCCAATTCAGGTAGAGTATTCCTTATTCAAAATGCTTGAAAACAGAAAGGTTTGAATTTCAATTTTTTTTTCAGATTTTGAAATATTTTCATACACATAATGAGATATACTGGGATAAAACCTAATTCAAACATGAAACACATTTATGTTTCATATACACCTCAAATACACACAGCCTGAAAATAATGTTCTACAGTATTTTAATATGCCTGTATTTTAACTGCATCCTGTTACAGGAGGTTAAGTGGGATTTTTGACTTGTGATTTCAAATCAGAGCTCAAAAAGCGTCAGCCTATACCTGATTTTAGTACACAAAGAGAAAATATGTAAGATAAACTTGGAGCAGCCAATGATTAAAAACCTGTTACCATAACAATTTATTATTCTGATAAAGGAGATCTATAAATCCTGAAGCACTTATTGTTTCTAAGTATTGTATCTGAATATCCATAAAAGTTCTTTTTAAGAATAACTATCAAATCAGAGGCTAGAGAATTATTATTTTAAATAATTCTGAGGATAAATTTAGATGACTAACTTATAGATACTAAAAGACACATTGTTGGAAAAAGGAAAAGCAGTAGTTTTCAATTRGTAACTCTACTATCCTGACTATGGAGAAGAATCCTTCTTTTCTGTGGTATTAAAGAAGCAGTCAGAACACATGGCAGAAGTCTAGCATGCTCTCCCTTTAACATGGAGGCACCTGCACCCTGGTCCCCAAACTTCCATTTCATAGGCCCCTTACACTACCTTCACCCAGGTCTTCTTAACCTTAAGAGAATTCTTAAGGATAAGAAGTAGGTGTCATGTCAAAGTAGGTGTCATATCCTCAAGCTCTCTGTCCCATGCCCTGCCACAGAAAAGGGGAGAAAGTTAAATTCCCATTATCTCACTTTAGCTAAATTCAGTTGGATTACAATAAACCTTATTTTTTAATTCTAAGGAATATATGACTAATAACCCTTTCTCTGACTTACCACACTAATATTCTCAATTTTATAATTCCCTCTATCTAGTCTAGGTATGAGCAGTAAGTAAAATCATTTTCACCTTTTTAAAAATTTAGTCTAATTCTTAAGTAGATTTTTAAAAATTCCATGTACAATTGTCAAAGAACAGCTGAACTGTGTGTAGCTAAAATTCATGCCCAATGAGGAGCAGATGACGGAGTATAAAGATTTAGTTTGATACAAGATTTCTGCGGGCATTATTGCTGCTTAATCTGGATGTTACTAAATAAAACTGGTTAGGAAATTTTGGTTTATTTGTTTTTGCTTTGTTTTTGTCATATATGAACCCAGGAATTAATAATTAATATTTATGAAACCAGATAACAGTCCAACTTCAAACAGATGTTTAAGAAAAAAAAAAATTCAGTAGCTATAAAACACTCCCTCCAATATGGCAAAGCTCCTATACTTGGTTTCCAGTGAGAAGAGACCCAGGGACTTCAAACTCTTGGCAGCCTGAGAGATCCTCATAGTCTCCACAAACCTCAGAGCTGAGTGTGTATACAGATTACTTTAAAATTCTTATTAGTTTCAAGAGAGTTCCAAAATGAATATCAGAAGA